GTTGCCAAATGGTGAAATAGAAACGAATCCCTTTAAATGTTGAATGCATTATTTCATTCCTCTCTTTTAAGTATTTAAATAATTTTTTAAAGAAACAGATTTCAACCTGTTTCTTGCGTTGTTGCGTTGCGTTGTTTTAGAGCTCTTTTATGAAAACTACTTGATTTTCGTCAGGAGGAACATTCCCCATTCAAGCTGTAGGATATTCATCGATACAAAATATTGGCATTTCAGCCACAAACGATATTATGGCCGAAAATGAATCTACTTGGTGAACCTTCTCCAACGGTACAACTCTCCCTCCTTTTTTTTCTACCGAAGAAAATGAATTCTCTGTCTCAGAGTCTCACTCCGCAGTTCTTAGGTTCTGGTAGAAGAACGATCAAATGCTTTCCATCCACATACTATACTATGTATGCAAAATATTTCAGTGAATTACCAGAAGGATTATTAAGCAGTCGTATCAGCTTTTAAGGCTAGTTATGATAGTGAGTACCTTCAACAAGTCTACTGAGCTCAACTGAAGGTCCATCCGAGAGTCTGCAGGGGTTTTGGGCTGGAATCAAAAGGTTAACAAGACTCGCCTATCCAGAAGCACCTGATAACTTCACCAACTGGATTGGTGTCCATAGTTTCATCGACGGGGTTCCTGACAAGGAGCTGCAACAAACGCTGTGGATGACACGTCAGAAACAATTGAATGCCATCATTTATGCCCTAGAATTTGAAGCTGCACACAGTTTAATATATAAGTTTGAAAATGTCCTCATAGGACCCAACTGAAGTAACGTTAGTTACAAATAAAAGTGTTAAAAAACAGAGAAAGTTTCAATTCTTATTTTTCATATATTTATCCTCTATGTCAATAAATGCTGAGTTGTTTACATATAGGAGAAATAGGGGGTCAAATACNTCCTATTAAAAAAAACATTACTTTTCTAGAAAGAATGTTAGGTACTAACCCACATATCCACTTTCGTGAATGATGAATAATCACTAATTCCTATTCTTTCTCTGCAAGCCTCATATTCTTTTGCAACAAAGTCGAACCATGGTGGTTTACCAAAAGTATTTGTATATGCCATCCTATAAGGTTTTGACCACTCTCTACCATCATGGTCTTCTGGTCCTAAAATTAAAGACTGTAAAAATGCCAGTGAAAATAAAAAAGCCTTGGATTATAATACGAAAATGTATCATTGTAGAACCTTAAAAAAATGCACTAATAATTTCAGTGTCATATACAGGATAATATTTCACTTAAATTATTAGTAAATCTGTTGAAGTCTATACTGAGCCAAATTATTCAAAAATTGAAATAAACGACATGCCAACAAATTAGAAAATCTTCAGCTATGAACTTAAGCTTTGTCAAAACAAAGAACTAATATTCTCTAAATAGGTCTACAGGTAGTACGAATTACCGATTCACAAATTAAGTGAACTGTAATTTGAATTTTCTTTGGGAATTCATGTTCCCACACATTCTCAGAGAATACTAAAAAATTGTAAATAACTGGAGATTCTATAAGGAATATCATTATGAATATGAAGAAGTGATCAAAACTGCTAAAATCAGGGCAAATGAAAACTGTATATCAGACAGACTGTATATCAGACAGACTAGTTCTCAAATGTATATCCCCTCGTTAGCTCACTTCATACTGCACTTTCAACTCGTCTTCCCCATCTGCCTATTGATAGTGCTTATATATCTCGATGGAAGTCTTAAGAAGCAAATAGGTTTATTCTCGAAGCGACGCGATACCTAGAATGATCATAAAACGCCAACGTAAAAGTCAACTAGAGTTGAGCGCGACCTTGGCCAAGTCACATTCAATTGACGAAGAGCAGCCTTTTTTTTTTCAGGGGACATTTTACAACATAAATCAAAGATATATACTAGCCAAAAATAAACAATGCAGGAATGATTATGACATGAATAGTCAAATCCTGAAATGCACAGAAAATGATATTGAAGTATTACCCACTGAACTTTTAAATCTCTTGTCTTGTTTTCAGAATTTCCAGAAGCCTTTAAATTATCAAAAATCCCAATCTATAAAAAATGAGTATTACTTGTGACAATTCATGCAAAATAATAGACAATTATATCATTATTATTTTCACGAATGAGTCTACCTTCTACATCACTCTTATCAAACCAGGTTGGCCTTTCATAACCCATCACTTGTCCAAAAACAGCACCAGCTTCCCGTAACTTTGGATAAACAGGAGACATTCTCAGATTTCTTCCTGAAAAATTACATGTTATTAATTTTATAATCAGAAAGGTTCATACACAATACGTTTTTGTTGCCGTCATTACTATATTTCATTTTGTATTTTTGTTACTATTATAAGAATATAAATNATATATATACGTGTGTAAATATATCTATGTATATGTATGTGTACATATAAATGTATATATTATTTTAATGTTTTAATCATCTGACAACTCTATCCTGTTTTATGTTTATTTATAACCAAATGATACATAATAAATTAGGGAAAACTGTTTTTATATCTATTTTACAGTATTGTTGTGATAATATTTTATAGTAGCATGACTGTATATACGTTCATCCACTTTCAACATCCGATAATCCATATTGGTTTGCATAGGTTTCGCAAGTTTTAATTTTATTTAATTATCATGACCTCCTGCTCATTTTAAGCAGTTACGTTTTATGTACTATTACATTTAGAAGCTTTGTCGATAAGAATTCTATTCTTTAGATAATAAAGCATGCTCTGATTGATTGATTGAGTACAGTTACATCTAACGATCAATAATATTCAATTCTAACAACAGGATATTTTTTCACTGTAACTACTTAACACTGTAATGCTTAACAGAGTCTTACCAGTTTGAAATTCATGAAAAGGATAGATTAATCCATAGTGTAACCCTGGTACTTCCATGACACGATCTCTTAGAAATTTGCGATTGTTGTGTAATCCTAAGAATCTAGATACTTCCAATTCGTACATGTCAAATTCTGTTTCCCCATTAACAATCAATTCAGCTGTAGCCTTGCCGACTCCTCCTGCAGCTGCAATGCCCACCGTTTTCATGCCAGCAGCAATCAAATAATTCTTTATCTGCCACAAGAAATATTGATTTGTACAAATGGCAACAATATATTTAGAATATAGAGGGTGTATTTTACTGAAAATATTGTTCTTTTATTAATAACTAACAATTATTTTCGTGTGTTTGTTACAAGTTATAAATTGCAAATTTATATCGTTTATATCGTTTTATATAAATTTTCAGTTGGTTCTAGAAATATTAAGAGCAGATAGTTGTTGGTTCACAGA